ACTTTAATCTGAAAATTATGTATTATTGTCTTGCTTTGTATATACCGAAAGCATATTTAGCCGTTAATTCTTAGGTTACATTAGAAGTCAACGTAAGAAATCGGTACCTAACCCACTTACTTTATGGTATTTGCTTTGGAACGCGATAATAATGTTTAATGTCTTTACAGTCCCACTTTAAATAATATTGTTCTATATGTACAGAGATAAAATTGCATTATCCATGCCACTTTGAGATATCTTTAGGTACTCGTATCTACTTGCTATGGTTACTAAATGCATAGTGAAATTCTTCTGAACGGATTTTTTAATAGTTTCAAAATTTAGGGGGCTACGATTTTATAATTTCATTGGATTGATATTATAGAAACTTTTTTTTTACCTTAGACCTAGAACATTCTCATGAGCATTTTTGCTATCGTAAAGCTGCGTAGCGGGTTCTGCTATTCTAGAATGTTCTACGGATGTCCATGAACGGCGTTGACCACTTGCTTTATACGCTTAAAAAACAGTTAACTACAATATTAAGTAATAACGGAAAGTCTAAAGGCCCATTTACACGATGCCATTTTCTTGTACATACAAGAGCAATAATTGAATGCAATAAATTGCGCGCAATAATTGTTTAGACCATTTGTTGTTTAGACCATGCAACTCATTTATTGCTTCAATTTAATTGTATACTACAGGCAAGAAACTTGCACCGTGTAAATGGGCCTTAACTCTTGAAACGCGTACGCACGCAACGTCCAACGTTGCAACGATTATTGCGAACAGAGAAATCGGGAAGCGTGTGAAAAATATATTTCATATGGTATTTCGAAATCATACACCGTTTTTAGCAGTTTAAACGACTTGTTACATTAAATATTTTCAACATAGCTTTCGTTATGCGTTTATTTTTTAAGTCACTTGCGCTCTTTTTATCTACTCAGTTCCGTATTGAATTAAACAATTTTAAGTACGAAGAAATTGACATGTCATAATCTTTGTTTAAAAACTTTAAAATGTTTATGATGTTCCTCATTCTAAACCAAGCAGTGTTGACAGTAATTCCTTGGTTATTATCTTAACCAAGGCAACAAAGCAAGTCACGTCAATGCACATGGCAACACGGTTTTGCTACGATAAGGTCGTGACAAAGTTAAATAACGGTAAGGTAAAACCTTCAAATGTGTACAGTTCCCAATTTGCTTTTTGCAATTTTAAAAATGTTTTTACTAAGCAATATAACAATATAAGTTTCATATTAGGAGAATATTTATTTATAAAAATAATATTAAATTCAAATTAGATATAATCCGGTAACGTAATATCAAGAATCATGTACTTAAGTTAAAAGTTTCCCGAGTTACAGCTAAAGATTTCATTAAAATATTTTAAAAAGATGGTATTAGAGAAATTGGATGAATAAAATTTAATAAGCGGTGCTGTGTATCGACGTTATGTAAATTACTATAGATACATAATGTTACCTTCGTTAATGCTTACAAGGCAAGTTAAAAAAATTGGCGCATAGGTACCTCGCCCGGTTCTTCTTCTTCTTTTTTTTATGGCGGTTTTCAATGAATACGCCAATGAACACTGTTAATTCTCAAACACTGTTAGTTATATTTCAACATATTAAACCAAGCCATAAAATCCAAAAAAAAAAAATGAAACCAAGCTAAGTTGAAATTATATTAACTCTGCATGACATAGAAGTGGTAGGGCCACGCAGCAGCCTCGGCTGTTGCACGAATACAAGTGACTCACAGAAGACCAGCGTAAAGTTATGAAAATACTTTCGCTTTCGTCTGGTGAGTGAGGTATTGGTTGTCAACGCATCTGTAACCCTCGGGAGTGGCAGATGTCCATGGGTGGCGGTATTCACTTATCATCAGGTGAACCGTCTGCTCGTTTGACAACTTTTCGCATAAAAAAAAAACATAGAAGTGTGAAAATACAATGACTTATTAAATAGCTATTATTATGGCAGTGACTACTGACTCACCTAAAACAAAAGACACACCGATGTAAAACCAGATTAGTAAATACAAGCAATTACAGCTTAATATTATTTGAAGTAATAAAATCACACAAATCATAAACAAAAGAGGAAGCTGTGAAAGTTAAAAGAAAATTAAAATTTATAGGATGAGGAATATAGGAAGGAAGACAATCATACAATGAGGAAGAAAACTTTGGACGGTTAAAAAATATATGATCTGTGGTTTCCTCATCTAATCCACATTCGCAAAGAGAATTATCCCTGATATGGGTGGAAGCATGACCAATTCTTAACCGACACACAATTGATGTTGCATTTTTGCTTGCTTTATCAAATTTGAAAAACCATGGCTTTGTGGAAACTGAGGGTTGAATGGAAGCATAATGCTTTCCCTTTATAAGTTGAGTTAATTTTCCAGAGATAGAGTCCCACTTAACCATGAGACTCCTCTTTGCATAAGACTTGTATCTTATGCAAAGACTTGTATCATGGGAAAATATAGTATCTTGGCTGAGACCGTTCAAAATAGCATCCCTTGCCAAAAATCAGCTTCTACATTACCTTCTATACCGCAGCGCTCAGGAATCCAAGCCAAAGACGTATGGATTCCTTTTACAACTCGCCCGGTTTCTGAAACACTGATCATCGTAGAAGTCAACTAATCAGCTGTCAAATGGATTTTCAAATGTTATTTGAGTTGCCAAAAGGATTGTTTAAAAATCTATTTGACAGCTCATTAGTTGACTTCTACGATGACCAGTGTTTCAGAAACCGGGCGTAACGCTATTAAAATTCTTTTTTCGTATTTTTATTGCGCCTTTATTCCAGATAAAATCGCAATATCTGTGTTTATGTCTTTAGACAGCTTGTGTTTGTAAATACATATTTTAATCCTTTTTATCTGTTTACTTGCATTTTGTTTACATCAAAGCCAGTCGTTATCTAATCTGAAACAACTCGTAGGTATACGAGTATATTTGATAAATGTGCAGTTTTCAACTCTAATATTATTTAATCCCTCTATTTTTAAACAGATAATCTATTTTAATTGTCTATGTAGTCAGTTTCGCTCCGATCAAATAAAGGTTATACAAAAACAATTAAAATATTAAAAAATATCAAATATAATCAATATATCAAATTATAAATAAATATATAATATGTTATGTCATTCAATATGACAATATCTGTGAACACTAAGCAATTAAGATTCATTTTCTAATTTAGTTCATTTTTCTGTACAATAACTAGAATAGGACACAAAAAGTTTTATTCGGCCTCGTGCAAGCGGAGTATTGAATGGTAAACGCCAAATTGCTAAATGCAGTTCCGCCTTGGGGCGTTAATTGCCGTTACGCTTACGTCATCATTGTCTAGTGACTAAGCAGATACAGGCTAAAGATCGTTTGGAAACTTCTAGAACTGTATACATTTGAAGGTCTTCATCCGATTTACTTACATTTATAACTATTTTAATTACGTTGTTAATTAAAAAAAAACTTTGCCAACCTTCCAGTTTAAGACATCTGGTTAGTGTTAAAACGCTGCATTTCATTTTTTTGTTTCTTATTAAATACCGTTTGAAAAATATAAACAATATTATTGCGTGGCTATTGATCTACATAATTATTCATGTATAAATATACACATTTAAATTAAAAAAAAAACGATTTTTGCTGTATATTTACCACTTTTTCAGATAAGTTCTCACATCCCGTATGGTCTAGTGGTTAGGATACCTGGCTTTCACCCAGGAGGCTCGGGTTCGATTCCCGGTACGGGAAACTTTTTGTTCATAGAAATTCTAATTTTTTTGCATATATCGTGTAAAAATTAATGAAATACATTTGTTTGTTATTTTTCGCTTTTGTTTTCTATATCGAAAAACATTTTTTGCATTATTATATCCGAAGTTTTATTCTGAGTTTACCACATGTTATTCAATGAGTTTTTTTTTAAATATTGCTTCAGTTCTTTATAAAAATCTCGGAGGAGAAACGAGTTGTGTGATCTTGATACTTGAACTTCTGATATTAGCAAATTAATACAATAAAAGTTGCACACTTTCATATACCGTATATTATGATTTTAGCGGCCACTAGACGCTTAAGCCCAACACAACATTTTATGTTCATGTCATTGACGACACTTTCTTATAATTCCGGCGAGATCGTTGTTATAACATAAGTAAGATATCAATGATAAATAATAACTAACATCGCTAAAGCTTGCTATACTGCATGACGTCAGATACTAAGAATTAAGCACTGCACAAATTCATTGCGTTTGTCGAATTAATATAATATGTTTGCTTGCAGTCCTAGGAACTATGGAAAGCTTATCAGATATGCAGAGCTTATCGGTCAGTCCCGTTTACCGTTTATCTGTAAGTAGTGTTGGGAAAGAAAACACGCTTAAGTCGTGTAATTCGGGCGTGCGGGTTGCGTTGTCGAACCCGGCGATTCGAATCTGAACTGCCGACGGTTATCGCATATAATTGGTATTCGGGTGCGCCGTGTGACGCGATAGTTCGAGGTAGAACTAGAAATGGGTTTATTAGCGATTTACGTGGTACACTAGTTCAGTATACCCGTACAAGTCCAGATCGGATCATTGTAATTCGAATTACGGGCATTGGAATAATCAATAGCAACGATGTCTTGATCGCCAAGTGTTTCAGTAACGATAACGATCGCGAAGTAAATAAACATTCCATGAAATATTTACATAAAGTTAATACTATGTTCAGCATTGAATTATTAAATACACCACAGTACAGTAAATAGTAACTCAACGATGTTCATCGCATAATATTCTTCCAGTGGTGGGCATCGAACCCACAACCTCTAATGTAAGAGGGTCCGCTATCCATCACACAAATCGGGCCGTCAAAGTTAACTAAATACTATTTGGTCTACCGGTTCTTGCCTTCACGAAAGATAGCTGACTCCCAGCGGTGGACGTAATTGTGGTGCTACAAAGAGTATACCAAATATTTGGTCTTCCGCAGCAGTATGCCGATCGATCTTTACTACGTGCCCGGCTCAGCCCCGTGCCGTGCGGTGCTCCTGACAGCGCGTGCTCTGAATCTCAACCTGAACCTGAAGCTAGTGGACCTCCACCATGGGGAACACCTCAAGCCAGAATACCTCAAGGTAAGCACCGCCGTCACTGTAACAAGGCCTCTAACGCTCCGAAACAGATAGAAACTTTGTTACACATTTAGTTTACAGCTTCATTGTATTAACTATATAATAAACTACATAATAATTTCTTCTGTAATGTTTGTTAAAATTTGTATTATTTACGCATTTACTTTTATGGCAAAATTATGTTCTCTCTGGAACAGAATAGATATAAGTGCAACATTTAAAAAAAAAGTAAAGTAACAGCCTATAAATGTACCACTGCAGGGCCAAGGCCTCCTCTGTACAGAGGGTATCAGGGCATAGTCCACCACGCGGCCCCAGTGAGGATTGACGGACTTCACATATTTTCGAAATATTTTTTTTTGTTATTATTTTGAAAATATGTAGGGTTCCTCACGATGTTTTCCTTCACCGCCGAGCACGTGATAAGTCAGCACTTAAAATTAACAATTTCATTGGTACTGGCACCGGGGATCGAACTCAGGTTGTTCGAGTAAATTGAATTAAAGGCGAGCGCCCGGACACTGAGCTATCACGGCTCTTTACATCATGCAACATCTGATGCTTCTTAATTTAATATCGACCTTAAACGAAATCAATTTGATACAAGTAAGATTCAACGCTAAAACCTAAAAACTTATATTTAATTGCATCAGATCATCCCTTCTAAATAGTGCCTCAGGGTCCTGTAAACACTTGCTGGACAAAATTATTTGGCCGAATGTTATTCAGTTGAACCCATATTCGGCGCATTTGTAATGATTATAAGTACTAGACTGAACTGAAACAAAGTCCACCCAGACTCGGTAAAAGAATTAATTATGTGATACGTTTAATTTATTTTTTTACGTAGAGAAAGTGGCACGCGAGTTTGCGGTCGCGTGATGCTAAGTGATAAAATACCACCGCCCAATAACATTTGCAACACTGTAGTGTTGTAGATGTGTTGCAACCTTTTAATAAAGCAAGCCCCGGCTGCCCCATTCACCAGATGAAACGCAGAATTATAACACTTCCACTTCACGCCGGTCTTACGTGAGTACGACACCCGGACAGACCTGCCCATTCGTGCAACACTGAAGACTGTTGCGTGGGCCTAACACATTTCCTATTAAAATACATATCTATCTTCGAGTTTGTACACTAATGTTTTTAAGCCCGATTGACCAAAGTCAAAGTGAATTTTCGTAAACTGGTTCTAGTGCCACTCGGACAGCATAATCTATGCGAGGCGAGCACTACCAAAAGGTCCTATATTGAGCGATTTGTATGCGATTGTATACTTTATAACTATTAGCAGCAGCGTTGAAATTGCTCGAGGAAATATTTGAAGGTCGAGCTTGCCGGGCGAGCGTGATGTAATCGCCGCGCCGAGTGGGAATTCGGGGTCGTTGTCCTCCAAACAGAACGCTGCATTTTAATTATTTGGAACGATACAAATATTCAATATTTGCCGAAACGAAAGTATTCTCCTGACGTCACCAATATTATTTTAGCGATAATGGGAATATTAGTTCTAATGAAAAGATGCTTTGTTGTGTCCGATGATTTTCGCCTATTTATCTGACAACAAAAAAATGCATCCCTAAATCTGTACCTAGTAATTTTACTTCATTGATGATATCCTCTGTACGGAGCAGACTTTTGCTCAGCAGTGTGACATATATAGGCTGTTACTTTATTAAACAGAGAAGATTAGTATGACCCCTGCGCAAGAATGATACGCAAAATCGTGAGTCGTTCCATATTGTTAGCGATTCCTGTGTTTATAAAAGAATATCTTGCATACTAAAGAAACCAATGTTTTCCCTCTTATATGCGGATAAAGGATGAACAAATGCCAGAAGGAAGAAAATAACGTGACAAACATTTGTTATTATGTGAATAATTATGTCATCAGGCAGAAAAAGGTTACCTATATGGAAATAACACATACCGCTTGACAACATTAAAAATAAGTGTTTAAGGAAATAACACTTACTGTTTGATAGCATTTGAACAATAACTTAATAAGGACAAAAGTCCCTTTTGTGGTTTCGCCGCAGTCAGGAAATAAATAGCTAAATAACAGAACACTCACATATTCATTTCATTAAAAATATTTATGCAATAATAAAGATACAATCCTAACGTAGTTTCAAATATAAATAAAATTTTATTCAAACAACGTTTCTTCTGGCAACCTTGAAACAACTGGAATGCGTTAATGCATTATGTAACTCAACTTTACATTCTCGAAGACTAATTTTCGTTAAACGGTATTAATTTATTCCACGATCATGGTAAAGTAAGCGCGGCTTAGTCCCCAAACGTCACTTTTCCCGCGCTTCAATCGCAACTCGCAGAGTAAATAAAACCGATATTTTTTTAATTCGTTGTCGCATAAGAACTTGAGCTAAAAATAAAAATAATTACATCATTGTGACACACAGGAAATCAAGTAACAATCATACGAGTAAATGCAGTAATGAAAACGAATTTCCGATTATTTTGTTCAATGTCACATACTCCGCTGTTTCTATCTTGGCTGCAAGGGCGGATCCAGCTTTGGTCCCAGGGGGGGGTCACGTAGTCGTGGTCAAGTGATAAGAAGTTATAATTTATTTTTTATAATCATAAACACAAGTAAAAAATAAGTATTTTTAACCGACTTCAAAAAGAAGGCGGTTATCAATTCGGATGTTTAAATTTTTTTCATATATGTTCGGGCATACCTTCGTCACATATAGACGGATTTGCAAAATTCTTTTTATGTTCGAAACATTTCATTGCTTTTTAATATCATATATTATACAGGGTGGATTTTATAAAGGTGCCCAAATTTACACAGGAGGTTCAGACTCCATAGTAAAATCGTTTATAGAAATTAAAACAAACTTAAAAAAAAAATGGTATTCTATTCCCTAAAAAACAGAACTTATTGACAATGCGGTAGTCATTCATGAATGCGTTTTATACTTTTGGCTGGATACACTTAGAAAACCCATTATTTTTGAAATTTCTTTTTATTTATTTCTTCGTTATCAGATTTTATGTAGCCGTATTGGTTATAATATTTTTCAATTCCTCTACTCCGCACGCTGGCTTCAATGACAAGTAGCATAAGACGGGACTATCGGGACACGGGTTAATAAGTAACCCAAATGAAAACTCCTAAAATAGCCACAAACTAAAATTTCATCGTGCACGTTAAAAAAATGTTCATAAATACCAAAAAAAATATTCAGTCATTCATTCATTCATTCATAATAATCCGCGCTCATCCCTCTAATCAAAGACAGAATCCACAATCATAACAAATGGTACGAACAAACTTTATTTCCCAAAGATGGGGTCGCGTACTCACGTCTACTAAACCACCACCTCTCACCACCCGACGAATCAAACTCGAAGCAGTTGTGTTCCTTAATTACTGAGTTCCGATGGCCACATTCCAGCTCTGTCATTAAACCCTACCATCTAGCTACCATCTAGCACCAAAGAACTCTAAGACGAATCAAATGAGCCGAAACTCGATGGGGTTGAGTCGTTTCACTACAGAGCGGTCATTAGAACCTCACAGAATAGCCTCATAGACCACACAAAAGATCGGCGTAAAGTACTTACTTCTGAGTTTTGTCTTGTGAGTGAGGTAGCCGGAGCCCACTTTATTATAAGGAGAAAATGCATCTGCAACCCTATGCATATGTCCAGGGACGGCTGAAGATGGAGCTCCATCATCAGATACTGGTTACCAATGAAAGAGAAACTACTCGTCAATACTATTCAAACATACCCAAACGCGATAAGGCTCTGTCGTTTCATTGCGAAGTTTCTTTCGCCACCTTCCAGCTCCATCATCGGATCAGCACCATGTCATAAAAATATTGCATTGTCTCGTGATTTACACATCTATACAAAATTTCGGCTCAACCGGTAACCGGGATGTAGATCTAATTTAATTTGCTAGATTTGATGACATACATTAAAATATTGTAAAATGTTCAATAAATGAAAACTACTTGGCCAAACTATGGTAAATTTTTATGGGACCAAATGGCAACTATTTTGCATCAAACTAAAGAAGAATCACGTAAATCGGATCATAAATCTCAACGTAATCGGTGTACATACATCGAAGTTACATAAAATGTATATTGTGGCAAAAAAATATAAAAACATTATGTTTAACAATTTTAATTAGTGGTCCCCTAGGACCTGGACCCAGCCCAGGGGGGGGGTCATGACCCACATGAGCCCCCCCTGGATCCGCCCTTGCTTGGCAGATCTATTAAAGTTACAGTTTCGACGGCGACAAAAATAAAGATCGTGAGAATAGAAAGTACAATTAGTAAGTGGAGAATACAATTGTTTATCCACGCTCCACTGTTTATGTTATAGTAATAAGATCTTTTTATATGTCTTTCCATTCTGCCCACCTTAGCGCTCTAATTTATTAAAAATTACTATTAAAGAAATTTCGAAATTTGAGGTCTAAAAAGCCCACTGGACTAAATCGAGAGCTTTTAACGGACCTTATTTCACAAGAACCGGTTGTGAACCCTTTTGAGGTCAAGAGAATGTTATCCAAATCACTTAAACCTGCTTCGGCTTAAGCTAGCAGTCATGACATGTAATGTTGTTAAAATGTCTTGTGTCTACTCCCAAAGAGAATATAACCACTACGTTTACCACTACGTTGTCTACTCCTATTAAAATTCCCAAATAAGATACGTCAACTAAGCAACAAATCGACTCAATCTTTTTTAAAACGAAATAGAATGTCACGAACTTCAAGCCGAGAAAGTTCATTATTATTAAAATAAAACCTCCGTTTAAGTTCCCGCTTTTATAAAGCGACATTGACCGTGTATAAAAATGTGAGCGAACATATACGTAGAGGGTGTTACGATTCTCAAGTGCATTTATTTCCGTACGCATACACATTTCAATTGATAAATGTTGATTTTGAATATAGGGAGATATTAAAAGAGTACTAATTAAAAAGGAGACGACTGTGTTAGGGCCTCGCAACAGACCCAAACCCCACATCTCTCGAAGAATGTGATCAGCGTTATGTGTGAGCCGTGTACATGTGTCGCCTAATATCGTTACAGCTGAACCCCCAGCACACGGTGCCCACCCTGGTGGACGACGGTCTGGCGCTGTGCGAGTCGCGCGCCATCATCGCCTACCTGGTGAACAAGTACGGCAGGGCCAGCGGCCTGTACCCGGACGAGCCGCGCGCCAGGGCCTTAATTGACCAGCGCCTGTACTTCGACATCGGCACCCTCTACCAGCGGTTCGCCGACTACTTCGTGAGTTCAAAGCATCTGTTGTACAAAATAAAGGCCAAGTGCGAGTCGGACTCGCGCACAAAAACAAAGTCGTCTCGCTGTCTGTCTCTCCCTATGTATGCTTAGATCTTTAAAACTGCGCAACGGATCTGGATGTGGTTTTTTTTATTACTAGATAGAGTGATCCAAGAGGAAGGTTTATATGTATAATAAATTGCACCTGTGCGAAACAGGAGCGGGGCGCTAGTTATCTATATAAAAGGCAAAACATCTGTTGTACAGTAAATAACAATTGATACACCGTCGTACCGACCACGCAAGATACCGCATTTAGTATATTTTTAATTTTCTTACCCCTGACCTCATCCCACCTAGGTAGAGTCGGAGCAACATATTGTGAACCATCTTGGTTGTATTGGCTAGGTTTTCCCATAGTTTCATTTTAAAGTAAATTACCGCGTGATGTCGAGATTAATCATATACATACATTAATATACCATTGTGAACTATATGATACAATTAAACTACTATGTTTGATTAAAAAAAAGATTTTTATTCGTATTGACTTCGTCCTTGCAAAAAATAAAGGGAAATCGATCACAGGTACCTTGAGTTTTATACATTTCCTTTGCCCTTCAACCTACGTGATGTAATTTATTGCAGCGAGCGGCTTTATTCAAACAACAAGGTTCTAGATAAACTTTTATATTTATAAGTGTATTAATAAATGCAATCGTAGTTTACGTTGCGTGTTTCATACTAACTTCTACGAAGGTAATGCCCAGCATTGTGTAACTGTTAGAATTTTCTATACATTACCACTTGTTACTGAATAATAATGTAATTTTCGTAGAAGGTTTGCGCTGTTAACAGAATAATGGTATTATGGTCACCCAATTTATTTATATTCTACTAGCTTTTCGCCCGCGGCTTTGCTCGCTTTGAGGTCCTTAAATAAATATCTTTCTTTAACAACTATATACATATTTTTACAAGAAAGTATAGAAGAAAGTATAGTATATAAGTAGTAATAATGAACAGCTGAAATAATTATATCATTTCGATACAGGTCGATTGATTAACATGAAAATTGATGCTTCAGGTATCGGTACCTTATTGTTAGCCACCGCCATAGACGGCGTTGCATCATTTCATATTCGAATCTTCGATCGTCATGAAAACTTCTGCCTGCCGGGTCTCATATAGTAGGTACCTATAGCGATGACTCCGTGGCGCAGTTGCGGAGGCATTGGCTTCGACGTCGGGGGTCGGGTGTTCGATCCCCACATGGGACAACTGTTTGTGTGATCCACAGATTGTTGTTTCGATTCTGGGTGTATTGACTAACTGTATTTTCCAGCAAAAAATTATGTACAATTAATAGTGTTAAATACTGCACCCCAAAAAACTAAATTTTAAACGCCGCGCAGTATGAACATGCGTCATCTTAACATAGTATAAAACAAAGTCGCGGCCGATGCTGTACCCCTAGATCATAAACTACGCAACGGATTTCAATACGGTTTTGAGCAACAGATAGATTGATTCAAGCGGAAAGTTTATTTGTAGTAAACATGAATATTATAGCAGAGAAAAGACGAGGAATTCTCTACATTGCAGCCGCGCGAAGCCGGGGGCGGGTCGATGGTCTTCATTGAAACACCATTGTGTACGAGCCGTTGCTATTCCAGTACCCGCAAGTGTTCGCCGGCGTGCCAGCGGACAAGGACAAGCGCGCGAAGGTCGAGGACGCGCTGGTGATCCTGAACACGTTCCTCGAGGGGCAGAAGTACGTGGCGGGCGCGGGGCTCACCATCGCCGACCTCAGCCTCGTAGCGAGCGTCTCCAGCTTCGAGGCGTCCGACATCGACTTCAAGAAGTTCCCCAACGTCAAGAGGTATTCTATTCTTTATGTACAAAGGAGGCAAGTTCTGAGCAAGAGCTGGAGAACGCGTAGTTTACCCGCCGTCGCGGGGGCAAGAGCGGGTTACGTCGGCCTCGCACCGACTAAAACCTTACGATGTCCCACCTAGGCGCATATCGGCAGGGCCGCCGGAACGCTTTCGCACACTTCCGCGGCCCTCCGAGGCGCTGGCCTCCTCAGCAGCCCTCTCCCGGGAATCAATCCCCCCCGGAATCAATTCCCCATAATCTGCAAGTCTACGGGTGTGTTCAAATGTCCACGCGTGGCCGTCCTCACTTAACATCAGGTGAACCGCCGGCTCGCTTGCCACTTTCTCCCCAAAAAAAAACCAGTTAAGTACGAGTCGAACTCGCACGCCGTGGGTTCCGTACCTACCCATTATACTGCCATGATAAAATTGGTAAATAATCACCACCGACTTTCTCAGGCACTGGTGGACCATTAGGTGTATAAAAATCGAGGTCCTGAGTCAAAACGATAAAAATATACCCGTTCCTGAGAAAATCGGTGGTGACAAACAGATAGACACGGACAAGAAAATTATCTTATGAGGGTTCCGTTTTTACCTTTTAAGGTACCCTAAAAAATAAACAGTTAGTCCTCACCTACGTCTAGTGGATGTTAGCTTATAATTGGCTTGGCTTGTACTTTTGTATTATAAGTAAGGTGGTAATTAAAGTGCGTTCTGCACCTCAGAACAGACGGGCCACCATTAGCTATTCGCAGAAATTGAGCAATAGGTCTTCTTCTCCCAGATGGTACGAGACCGTGAAGAGCACGGCGCCTGGCTACCAGGAGGCCAACGAGAAGGGCCTGGACGCATTCAAGGCGCTCGTCATCAGCAGCATGAAGAAGTAGACGGGTTCGAATCCGACACCGGCCGGGCAGTCGCGTTACAACGCTAATAGCACCACCGCACCACCTCACCAGCAACGTATGCCGAACGGCATGCTTTTGTATAAGACTTGTAAACTATGGCACAATAAATTAATTACGTTTTACGAAATCGCTTTTATTTATCTAGAAAGTTCTTTAATTGATAAGAGATTTAATCTTGTAAAAAGATGTTTCTAAATCAATGTTTTTAGATCAATAAACTGTATGACAACGTTTTAAAAAATTCTATATACGTTCTATATTTCTACGTTTCTAAACTGCGTGCATGGCTAGTATTATATGACTATCTATATATTATATATAAAAATTTCGTGACACGACGTAAGCTAGCGATAACATCCAAAACTACTGAATCAATTTTTATCAAATATTGTAAGCGTTTGTGATTTGGTCCAATATGGTCGATAGGGTAGTTTTTCAATTATTGATCTCAATATTTGTTGTTGCAAATTATTTGTTTATTAGATGACAAAGAGCTATACGAGGTGTAAGATAAATTTATCGGCTGGATTGAGTATGTATCCGATAGATGGCGCTATGCTAAAAGTAGAAACGTATGTACCCGGTCGAATCGGCGCAGACGAAGTTGTATTATGTGATATATGACTGTATTATATGACTCGATGTTTCTAAGCGTTTGGCTTCGGCGTCGGGGGTCGTGGGTTCGATTCCATGAGACAAGTATTTATGTAGCCCACAGATAATTGTTCCGGATTCTTAGTTTGTTTCCCAAGGAGAGGTGACGTCAGGCAGACGCCCGGTCGTAAAAAAAATTGCCAAAACTGTGTTGAATGGTGCATAGCTAATATTATATAGCATCAAATGTCTTCAATCTGTGGAATGAATTCATCGCTTCCGATATTGACTTCAAAAAGCTTGAGCTCTTACGGGATTTCTTCTGTCTTCTGAAAGAAAAACAGGGTACCCATAAGTTTAAGGACGTAACATTTTAATACCTTCAGGTGGATCAAAACACACATTAGAATTTTAACAATTACTCAAATGTAATAAATAAATAATAATAAATATTTCTGGACGTGTTACACAACGTGCTCTAGTTAAGTTAACGAGTCTAATTAGTGGAAAATGCTAATTGGCATAAGGTCTATCCTTAGCCCAATTTAAAGTTATAAAAAATAAATTACCCTTGGGTTACATTTACAACACTCGCTTCGATTATCGTTTCTTTTACCTGGATTGTATTCTTGTAGCATTCAATTATTTAACTTGTTTTTACATAAATGTACAATAATTGACTCTTAGGTAATATTTATTTATTAAAAGTAGCTTAAGTTAGGAGAAGCCGGTAATTTATATAAAATGTGTTCTAAAACAGTAAGCAGATTTGCAGATTACATTTTGAAAGTATTAATATTACTCATCTTATTTTTAACATCAAAATACAAATTTAGTGATGATAATTCAAAACTGGGTGCATAAATTTTGAGGAACTTTATTCCGAAACATTTTGCAAAGGCTTTGACTTGGCGATCTGTTATGAAATACACAAATAAAAAAAGTAACTGAGGGAAAGGAAATAAATAAAGTACCTAAGTATACGATTTTAAAAACACAAAATATATTTTAATACGTTACGTGTGAATCCAGTGTTTGTCAAAGAAGAGTGTGCTAATTTTATCTCTATGCGCGCTTATTGTGCATAGTGAAACATTCATATCTAGTTATTTATGCTACGTATATCGTAAAATATTATATTACATGCATACTATACAATATTGCACCGACGAAATATCATTTCAGTCATTGGTTTCCCCTTGAAATAGGAACACTTCAGGTGAGTAACGGCATTGATATAAATTTTTAATTTTAATTAATTTATAATGCTACAAAATTATTAAAATCGGTTTGTGTTTTGCATGAAGATACATAAATTTTATTTATTCAGTAATAAAAAAAAGAAATTATTATTCGAGCATTTTTATTAACAAAAAAACAAAACCGACTGCATATAATTATCTTATTCACTGTACATTTTCTATTCGATTTTGAAGAGTTCGAGTTTTGAAGAGTCTGATACCAATGAAATGAATGATGAGGTCATATGGGAGTATAATAACCTAATGCAAAACTTATTTTTAAAATTGCTTCATAAATGAATGATTTTTGGCGGCCTTATCGCTTCTTAGCGATCTCTTCCAGGCAACGAATGGCGTTAAGGAACATTTACCACGTAGGTGGTGCAATAGAGGATATGGAAATAAATGACAGAGATAAAAAATGCGACCGAATTTAGAAATTTCTCGTTTTTTGAAGTCGTTTTCGTTTTTGAAGCCCCCTGAATACACTTCATCTTTTTTAATATTAGTAGCCCCTAATTTTTGAAGTTATTCTTCTTTTGTGGGAGTACTTAATATTTTTACGATGCGCACGAACACCGACCCACAAATGGCGACATGATGAAATTAGTAACAAAGACACCAACTTTACAATATTACCATGGTAACCAATAAGAACTTTTTGACATTTACCCATAATTCCAAGCTATAACAGCCGTTATCGTTAAAGTATTTTTCACAAACAAATAGTAGTTTTTACGCTAAAGAAGTGTAACGACTTAAACACACGCGTTTTTTTAAACAGGAATCATTATTTAATATTGTATAATTCAAAATCCCTGAACGTTGCGGTTAAACTTATTAGTGATTTAATTATAAGTATTGTATTTTATGGATTAAACCCTATATTTTTTATTTCTTATTATTAATTTTTAAAAAAGTTCCCTTACTTTAGGATAACATTATCCTGTTTTGTAAGGACGTTTTACAAACATAAATTTCACACGGACAAACACCCAGATGCGAAACAATTATCTGTGGGCCGAACAAATAGTAGTCCCGTGTGGGAATCGAACCCACGACCCCGACGCCGAAGCTGATAGCTTGGCGACTGCGCCACGGGTCCATCAAATGATAATAAGGCAATGATAGTCTAATGTGTGATGTTGCCTTAGTTATCTAAGGTCGTAGATTTGAATTCGTGTATTATTTCGTATCGGACACTCAATGACCTTTGTGCCGTGTGTAAGATGACAAGCCTAGATAATTCATCCTCCTGCTCTTAATAGGGGTCGATACAACATGTGAATCGTGTACACGGTTTCGGGTTTTGGTTATATTTTTACAATCGGCCTGTCCTGATCCGGATCTGGCCTGTCCGGATCACACAAACACTGGTCCCGTGTGAGAATCGAACCCACGACCCCGACGAAGCCAATAGCTTGGCAACGGCGCCACCGAGTCATCAACAAGCCTAGTTAATTATTTCCCCTCACTGTCCCATCTTCTTTCGAGGATAGCCAATATGACGTTGGACTTCTACTACATGTCTGGTTCGCCGCCGTGCGCCGTCGTCTCGCTGGTGTTCGCAACAGTGGGCATCGAGTCCAGGGTCAAGTCCCACAGCGTGGACCTAATGGGCAAGGAGCAATTGTCGCCGCAATACTTAAAGGTAACTGTGGTAGGGCCGCACAACAGGCTTCGCTGTTGTACGAATGGGCAGCTCCGTCCGGATATAATATTCGAGTAACATTTGAGATCAATAGAAGACTTTTATATTTTACCGGGAATTTTTTTTAATCTGTCCCCAAGTTGAACCCGCAACACACGTGCCCCACTATAGTGGACGACGGCTTCGTACTGTGGGAGAGCCGCGCCATCGCCAAGTACTTGGTGGGCAAATATGGCGGCGACCTGTACCCTGAGGACTTGAAGACGCGAGCTATCATCGACCAGAGGCTAGACTTCGACTGCGGGACCCTGTACGCGAGGCTCGCCGAATATTACGTGAGTGGTTGCCATCGCTTTAACAAGTTCAACTGTGGTAGGGCCACGCGACAGTCTTGACTGTTGCACGAATGGGCAGGTCCGTCCGGGTAAGTACCACGACCTCACAAAAGACCGGCGTATTATATAAGAAGTGGTATTATTGTACTTCTGGATGGCATCACTTCTGCAACCATACCGGTGTTGCAAATGTCAATGGGCGGCCGTTATCACTTAACATCAGGTGAACTCCCAAATCGTTTGCCACTTTCTCACATAAAAAAAATCTTATTAAGTAACAGTGTATATATGTCCCACTGCCGGGCAAAGGCTGCATTGGTGCCGGCACCGGGATTTGAACTCCGGTTGCTCGAATATATTAAACCCAAAGTCATCGTTCGACCACTAAGCAATTACGCCTCGAAAGTCTTATTAGCTCCTCTTGTTTGTAATTTTATCATATTTAAGTATAATTAATTCACACCATTATAACGTAAGCCATTATGTATTAATTGGATGACACAATTATTGTTAAAACGTAATTTTTTATGCGAACTTGATTGGACTATTTTACTAAAAATCTTGGTGCTCCAAATATGTCACCTACTGTAATATTTTCTTTAAATAAAGCTCTTACTATTAATTTGTTTTAATAAGCAAATCGTAACTGTTTTATGGAAGGCCTGTCAATTAATGACCCTTATTTCTTTTTTGGTAAAGTGCGGTAATACAGTATGTGATATAATTCATTATTTATATGCTTGAAATGATTGTCTTTACCTGATAAACGGATGGTTGCACCATTTATATCTCGGACAGCAGTTTACATTAAAATACATAACAACTGCGAGTCCGGAGATAAAAACGCGATAATGTACAGTGATTAGTGAAAAATAGAGGTCGCATGAAGAAAAATAAAACTAAAAGCATAACAAAGATAACGAAATTAACCTTCTTACCTTTCAGAATGAAGAATCAATTGGATCCAATAGTTTACTCATGTGTATTTTCTATCAAGTTTTGTACAGTTTAACTACGAGCACTGATACACATAATCATTATTGTCTTAAAATCACTACATAGTATAAAACAAATTCGTCCCGCTGTCTGTTTATCCCTGTATATGCTTAGATCTTTAAAACTACGCAACGGATCTTGATGCGGTTTTTTTATCCTAGATAGAGTGATTCAAGAGGAAAGTTTATATGTACAATACATTGCATCCGTGCGATGCCGGGGCGGGTCGCTAGTATTAATATAAAACGTTTACGCCCGGTTTCTGAAACACTGGTCATCGTAGATGTCAACTAATCAGCTGTCAAATAAATTTCAAATTTCATTTTAGTTGCGAAAAGAATATTTAAACTCTTTGAATTGATCATTCTGATCATAAAGAAGATCATTCTGGTCAATTCAGAGAGTTTAACCATCCTTTTGGTAATCGGAAATTGTAATTTGAAATCCATTTGACAGCTGATTAGTTGACATCTACGATGATCAGTGTTTCAGAAACCGGGCGTTAGCGTTTAATGGGCAATTTCAGTGTCCGAGCGCTCGTTTGTAATTTATTATAAGCGCCAGCTTTGTCAGCTCCAATTGTTGATTTCCAGTGCCTTATTATCACGCGCTCAGCGGTGATGGAAAACATCGCGAGGAAACCTGCGTATTTTCGAAATAAAAACAATAATTTCGAACAAAAAAAAAACCGCCTTCAATAACGCGGGAAGTAAAACAACATTGTCAACTCCTATAACATTTGCGGATTGCCCTCGATTTCTCTCGGATGCCATCATCAGATCTGGGTTTCCTTATCATGGTACCACCTTTGAGATATCTCCTTTCCAACAAAAAAAGAATCATCAAAATCGGTTCATAAATAACGAAGTTATCCCCGAACACACATAAAAAAAATTATACGGTCGAATTGAGAAACCTCCTCCACTGAGCCGTGATAGCTCAGTGTCCGGGCGCTCGCCTTTAATTCAATATACTCGAGCAACCTGAGTTCGATCCCCGGTGCCGGCACCAATGAAGTTTTTTAACTTTAAGTGCTGACTTATCACGTGCTCCGCGGTGAAGGAAAACGTCGTGAGGAAACCTGCATATTTTCGAAATAATAACAAAAAAAAAATATATTTCGAAGATATGTGAAGTCCGCCAACCCGCAGTGGGGCCGCGTGGTGGACTATGCCCTGATACCCTCTCTATAGAGGAGGCCTTTGCCCAGCAGTGGGACATGTATAGGCTGTTACTTTACTTACTCCTTTTTGAAGTCAGGTAAAAATCAATCGAACATGTGTTAAGTCCGCCAATACGCAGTGGGGTCGCGTGGTGTATAGAGGACGTTTCGGTGGTAGGGCCACGCAGCAGCTTCGGCTGTTGCACGAATGGGCAGGCTCGTCCGGGTAAGTACCACGACCTCACAGAAGACCGGCGTAAAGTGGGAGTATAATACTTTCGCGTTTCGTCGGGTGAGTGAGGTGGCCGGAGCCCAATTTTCAAAAAGGTTCATCTGCAAACCCTCGGGTGTAGCAGACGTCCACGGGCGGCGGTATTCACTTAACATCAGGTGAACCGTTTGCTCGCGTGGGAACCTTTCAAATAAAAAAAAGTACTGTCACTTTACTTTTTATTAGTATGCACCGTTCCTGTTCGGCGAGCCCATGGATGAGAAGAAACTGGCCAGTCTGCACGAAGCTCTCGTCGTCCTGAACTCCTTCCTAGAAGGCACCAAATACGCCGCCGGCTCGGCTCTTACTCTGGCGGACTACTGCCTCGCCGTTACAGTGTCCGTGATCGAGACAGCGGACATTAGCGTCCAGGATTACCCCAAAATCGTCAGGTGAGTCTGTACAGACTGCGTTTCTCTTTCGATCTCCTTATTCCTAACTACAATTGGTTATATTTCATGGAATATTAAGTCCGCCAATCCGCAGTGCGGCCGCTTGGACTATGCCCTGATACCCTCTGTACAGAGGAGGCCTTTGCCCAGCTGTGGGACATGTATGGGCTGATACTTTACATAGAATATTAAGCAGTCTTTATATCTATATATTAATACGTGAAGCAAAAACTTTGCACCGCTTTTTTCAAAAATTGTGCGCACGGAGGAGTATGAAATTTCCCACACTTATTGTTTATATAGAGAAGTAGTACAGAATGGTAACATTTGTTTAAAAATTATGCATAAATAATACATTACCTGCACTAACATGTATAATATAATTTTTCTGTTCGTGTGTATGTCACTGAATTCCTCCTAAACGGCTGGACCGATTTTAAAGGGATTTTTCGTTTGTCTTCGAGTTGATTCGACGATGGTTTAGAATTTAGATTCACAATTCAGTCTACTATAATTTTTTTATTTATAAGTTGTTGTCGGACTTAAGTCGTGTGTACAGGACAAAGTCTGTCGGATCCGCTGGTATAATATACTCATGGACAGTAGCAAAAATATGGTTTTGGGACATTTTAATTACCATCCTTATCACTTTCATTATCAAAGAACTTTTATTGTGAATGTCAAATAATTTCAAATATTGACACTTTTTTTTACGTGAAACGTAATAAACAACTTTGTTAATACAATGTTAAAGACTTCAACTCAATTTAAAGATTTCAATCGATTTTTTTTTGGGGTTAGTAAAAGTACTTAGGTTTTGAAATATCCTGGCGCAGTGATGATACCGTGGTGCAGTTGCCGAGGTTGGCACACTCACAAAAAGAACATGCCAAGTGCGAGTCGGAAGTCGGACTCGCATATGAAGGGTTCCGTATCATTATCTATACACGGGAAACATTCATGTCTGTTGTATGGAAGCCACACTTAAACAACTTATAATATTAATAAATATATAAAATAAATTAATACTTATAGCGGCAACAGAAATACATCATCTGTGAAAACTTCAACTGTCTAACTATCACGGTTTATGGGGTGCAGACTGGTGACAGACGGACAGACAGACAGCGAAGTCTTAGTAACAGGGTCTCCGCGTTTTACCCTTTGGGTACTGAAACCTAAAAACGGACGGCAATACTTCGAAAGTTGCAACACCCGTAGGGTTGCAGATGCGTTGCCACCTGTTAATAAAGTGAGCTCCGGTTACCACACTCACGAGACGTAAGCAGAAGTCTTAGTCTTAATGGTGGTAGGGCCACGCAGCAGCCTCGGCTGTTGCACGAATGGGCAGGCCGGGTAAGTACCACGACCTCACGGAAGACCAGCGCAAAGTGGAAGTATGACAAATACTTTCGCGTTTCTTCTGGTGAGTGAGGTAGCCGGAGCCCAATTTTCAAAAGGTTGTCAACGTATCAGTAACTCTCGGGTGTAGCAAATGTCAATGGGCGGCGGTATTCACTTACCATCAGGTGAACCGTCTGCTCGTTTGGCAACTTTTCACATAAAAAAAAAAAGTATTATACTACGACTTGACACAGGGGTTTTCTCTGTTCTCTTTATTACAGTTTTTTTTCTTACGCCACATTTGCAACCATAATATCTAGTTTATTCTGCCAATAACGATTCAAATCCATTTTGCAGATGGCACGCCCTCGTAAAATCGACAATACCCAAGTACGAAGAAATAATCGGTAAATACATGCAAGATTTCAAAGACTACATTGACAACCTGACCAAGGAATGAACACGAAATTGAGGTGAATTCTGATAAAAATTTGAACATGAAATAAAATCTGTATCAATTATTCTGTTTTTATCATTGATTTCCCTCTCGCAATATATGAAATAACATTCCAACCAATAAATAGGTACTTACCAGGTAAAACAGCGAAAATTGTTACTCTACCGCGATGGTTCTCAAAGTGGACGGTACCGCCCCCCAGTGGGCGCTGAGACTATTCGAGAGGACGATTGAAACTTTAAATAATATTGGGATCGCTATATTAAAATCGGTTAGCAGTGGAAACTAGAGATAGAGAACGGTACGAAGAAAATCTTCAATCTAGAACAACTGTTTCTGTAAAAAGTTATATAAATTTTTCTTAAAGTAGGCGGTACCCAAAAAAGTTTAAGAAACACTGCTTTATATTAAATATTATCAACAATTTCGATGTCGCTGTCATCATGGTGACGTATAGATTAATTGTAGTTAGTTATATATAGATTAAAAAAAAAAACGTACTTCGTAATCCTTTATTTAGAAAAGTACAAATCATTTTGCTGATTATTTGTTAACAAAATTGTTACCGTGATTACATGAAAATTTCCTCACATTAACGTAAGATTATTACTATTACAGTAGATTTACAGTTCACTTTTAGGCACGAGGTTTTTGATCATAGTCTTGAACTGCTGTATACCTTTACCATTGGCTTCCTCGTAATTTGGCACAGTTAGTTTGACCTTTTCGAACCATCTGTAATATAGAACGAGTACCAATATAAAAAATATATATTTAGTAATTCGTAAAGAAAAAAAATTTGATGCTAGCATAGCTAAAGATTATGATAATAGAAAAGGTAAAAAGCTAAAATTTAAAAACAATGAGTATTTTAAATACATTAAATAAAATGAAACATTTATTTTTAGGGTCCCGCACCCAAAAGATAACGGAACCCTATTACTAAGACCTGTATCTTATGTCTCTCATGAACCATGATAGTTAGAAAATTGAAATTTACACAGATGATGTATTCGTGTTGTCTCTATAACAACATTTTTTTTATGTGAGAAAGTGGCGAACGTGCTGGCGGTTCACCAGATGTTAAGTGATAACTGCCGCCCACGGACATTTGCAACACCCGTAGGATTGCAGATGCGTTGCCACCTTTTACTAAAGTGGGCCCCGGCTACCTCACTCACGAGACGAAACACGAAAGTACAACACTTCCAATTAACGCCGGTCTTCTGTGAGATCGTAGTACTTACCAGGACGGACCCTGCCCGTTCGTGCAACAGCTAAGACTGTTGCGCGGCAACGTCATACGTGGTCAAGATGAATGAAACCGCTGGTTTTACTGCAAAGTGCCGTTCCCCTAACTGTTGAGACCTGTACTATGCTACTAAGTTCTTATACTTAGTACTAGCGAACCCAACAGACGTTGTCCCGTACACGCGACCTAAACCGACAACTTATAAATAAAAAAAAAAAAACGAATTGTGAATCTAAAACATTCTCGAATCGACCTGACGACACACAAAAATTTTCATTAAACTCGATCCAGCCGTTTACCAGGATATATACTCACCTGTTCAGATCTAAGCTATGCTACTAATAACTAAGTTCCAATACTGAGTATACTCACCGCACGATATTGGGGTACTCCTGGAGGCTTACGCCAGCTGCGTCGATTGTGGACACGGTGGCCACGAGGCTTAGATCGGCGAGGGTCAGTCCCGGGCCAGCGGCAAACTCGCCACCCTCGACGAAGGTGTTGAGAAACTCCAGGGCTTCGTTCAACTTCCCTAACAGGGCATCGTCGGCGAGCGCCCCACCGAATATTTGCGGGTACTGGGGAGTTCCCAACTCTATTGACTTTACGTTTTGGTATTACGTTACTTGAAAATGGTGTCTTACTTATGATGTGGTTTCGATTTCCGTTCCGGTCTAAAAATCTAAAGGCAAAAATAGCTGAAGGGTTCTTCGCCGAAGTTAGTGGTGCGTTTTATTATGTAAGATGGAAGGCTAGCTGGCGATTCACCTGATGTTAAGCGGTGACCACCGACTATTGACATATTTATATCGTCGGGTACCTCATTCACCAGACATATCGATCTTCTGTGAGGTAGTGGTCCTTCCCTGGACCTGCCCATTCGTGCAACAGCGAAGACTGATGCGTGGATGGACAGTTAAGAGCGTTTGTGTTCAATTTTTTTATTCATGATATATTGTTAATAAATTTATATTAAACAAAAAGCAACATTTGATTTCACGCTGCCACTATGTACAAATACATATACTATGTAAGAGTCATATGACCGTCTTATTTTAAAGTAGCCATTAGAGTTGTGTTAAATATTAACAATATGTTGTGTTAGTTGTACTGGTATGACAGTCCCGTAGTGCTGGTTTCAGAGAATAGGACTAAGGAACACTCTGCTCATCAAACGAGTCAACTAAAAGGGACACAGTGTACACAGGTGATTAACTATATATATTACTGATATACTTTTGGGAACAGTAGTGAACAAAAAGAGATATCAAGTTATTATCAAGTATTAAAATATAAAATCTTCCTGACGAAACTCACAAAGTACTGCGCGAATCTTGGATACAGCGTGCCGAGGTCGAAGTCAAGCCTCTGGTCGACGAGCGCCCTCGCCTTCGGGTCCTCAGGGTACAAGGTGCTCCCAGCACCGTACTTATTTACCAGGTAACGGCTTATGGCGCGAGACTCCCATAAAGAGAATCCGTCGTCGACTATGGTGGGGACGGTGTGCTGAGGGTTTAACTGAAAAAGGGTTTCCCAATCTATTTGTCACCAGCGGGCTTAGTAGTAACTGCTAAAACAATTTGCTTTGCTACTGCGGGTAATGAGTTTAATTCCCAAGAGTATTTTTATGCTTGTTTGTGTATATTTATGATAATGTTTAAACATGTATCATTTCGTTTATTCTCTTACGTCGCTACTTCTTCTTTTTATTAATGGCTTACTTTGTGAGTTATCACAATTCCGCCAACGTCAAGTCGTTCTTAAAATTCTCAATTTTATAATATTCACATTAAACTCTTAATAGACAAAAAAATCCCTATGAAGCTATCTAGTTATCTACAAAAGAGAAGAAGTGTCATTTTGACAATGTCAATTTTACCGCGCATTGTGTAGTATGTGAGATGTGAGCTAGTTTAACTTTTAAATATTAACAGTGTTCATTGGCGTATCCATTGAAAACCACCAAAAAAGAAAAGAAGAAGAAGACTTTTAAATACCTTTAAAAAGTCTGGTCGCAGTTGTTCACCAGCCCTAAGATCTACGAGGTTGTGGTTCAAAGGGACGTTGAGTGCGGCCGCTACTAAGAGGACGATACGGCAGGGAGCCGAACCGGGTGTATAGTAAAGATCTATCGCCATTTTTGCTGCTTCTCTATAAAACCGAAACGTTTCGTGATACTGATATGGTTAGAAACATGATTTGTGCAATTACAAACTAATGTAAGTAGAAACATTGTTCCGTATAGTTTGCGTTATTGAAATATGGTATTGGCAAAATAATTATTACGGATTATTCTTATGGACGGACTAGTAAAACATGTAACTAGGTAGTTTAACCTATTTACTATACTAGTCCGTATTCTTACGTCCAAATGTTTTTGCTTCATTTAAACACATGATAGGGCCTGAAAGACCGGCAACGCATTTGCTAGTCTTTCGATGTTGCAGATGTTCATGGGTGCCGGTAATCACTTTCCATCAGGTGAGCCTCCTGCCGGCCCCCTTTTTTCCATAAAAAAAACATATACCCTGATTAAATATAGTTGTAATTACGTTATTTAACTAAAACGTACGTAAAAGGAGATACCTACTGATCTATAAAGGCAGTCATAAATCGCTTAGGTTAAAATTAAATTTATGCTGAAGATTTTACATTGAGCATATTACGACATACACTTTAAATTATTTGAACTTATAACCTAAAAGCATTTTATTACAGTGATCGGCAGCTGATAATGTAACACTAATTCATAATTTATCCATGTTAAGATTGAGTTAGATACGACTTCTTAAATAAAATATACAGTTAAGATATAAAACTAGTTCTGTGAGATTCATTAAATGTATAAAAGAAATATTTACAAAGTACTTACAAATAAAATTGATCAAACTAGTAGCAACGCCCACCCAGGACTGTTCACTGACCTTTCGCTCTGTCAGTTGGGTCGGCTTACGCTAACAGTAACAATACTAGATAACCTTGAAAATGTGTTGATACTAGCGACTGCAGTTTTTAACTCTTATTGGTGAATATTTACTATTTAAATGTTATTTTTGCTATTTCTATTTACCTATCTATAGTCCTCTTATAATTTAACAAAGGAACCATTTAAATTCATATTAGAATAAAGCGCAATTAGTAGGTTTAAGAATGCTTACTAATTGCACGTTATTCTACATATCTTGTCGATTGCAAGCACATTTTGTATTCATAAATTTATTAAAACTTTTTATTTACATAACTGTAGTTAGAGTATGTCAAATAAAGCATCCATGATCATCAGGTGCTCTGCCTTTCTTGATGAGTTTCGCAACAAATATTTACAGTAAAGTATACTTATATATATACTTATTTGGCAATATATAGGAGAATATTTGCGAACGCAAATATTCTGTTATTTACCTCAGTACTCCGGGCTACTTATACACGTGAGAATACAGCAGGACTCCAGTTTTTATAACTTCTTACGTGATAAACACGAGACATTATTCACGCCATATATCACGATGAATTATTTGACTATGAAGTAAAAATCCTTTTTCGAAAAATAAAACCGAGGATAAACAGTTCGTAGTCTTTTTTTTAAAGTATAATTAAGACCTCCTGTAAACGACTGTTTTTTTTTGCTACCTGTTATTGTATTTCAGTTTATTTACTCTTTATTGTAAACCCTTTAATGCCCAGGCATTCTATACCAGTCAACTTCTTGTACTGTGAGCGCAGAGTGAATTGACTTAACATTTTATCCAACTGTAATAATACGTAAAATTCGGCACTGACGTTCGTCCAAGTCACCAGCTTAAAAGTATCGGACTATTTAGGTAAGTAGAAACTATTGACAAATTGTAAACGTTATTCCACGTTATCCATTGTAAATATTATATTTTTCGGTTGTTGGTGCATGTCCAAAGGTCTTGCCAACACAATCACACATCTTGTCAAGTTCATTTTTTCAATTATCATGCAAAAACCATGCCAACAGAGAGAGGGAAATAAAACCAAAGGAGATTTACATTATATTTTATTATCTTTGTCTTTAATAAAGTAATTACAGATAGGCACTAAAAAAATAACCATGCATATGAAGACCATAATACAATAACATATTTCTTAGATACAACGAACACCGCGTCTCCGGGGCGCGGTAGGCCTTAGTGCCGGTGTGGGCTAGTGGGGGAAAAAAAAAAAAAACAAGACCAACAACTCGCCCGCCGTACGCTGAGTATTCGTCGATATTGCGGAGCGGCACTAAAACGCGTGCGGCCGAAAACGTCCCCGTGCGCGGCCGCCCTCATTTCCAAACTCGAAGCCTTAAGCGACGTCACTAGGCGTGACAGATAATATTATACTGACACGTGTGCGCGGGAATTTCGCGCCAAACTGTCAACGCAACAACAATTGCGACACGGCGTTTGCGAAACGCATAGGCGCCATTTTTTTTTATAGAAACGTCATTCTGTCAAATCTGACAACTCGGCGGAATGATGTTACTTTTCAAACAGGGCCACAGCATCGGGACAACTGTGTCGCACTTAAAAATCGACGACCGCTCTTAAAACCTCAACGATGTCCGAAGGCGAACGGTTGAAAGCGGTCAAAGTGCCTCGTCGCGTCCACACAGAAGGCACATAACATCCCGTAGAGGTGAGAAATGAAACGATCGTTTAAAAAAGCTATCCCTTAGTGAACTACGAGCTATGTTATACAAAAAAAACGAATTACGACATGTACCAATCACGAAGCGACGGTTTGTGTGCTATATAACATCTTTTTATTAAATTTTTAATATATATAATATACATAATAAATTTGAAGCCAACATTATTGCGTCCGTTTTCGTTGGAACCGATTACGGGGGACTTATCACATGGACTCTTGGGACCGTGGCGACAGCCGTCGAATGTTCATTGATTCACTAAATAAATAGATATAATATGAATTATCTACTACACGAAACAAAAATATTATTTACCTCTTAAATAAAATATAATAATCGGGCAACGACGTGTTACACGGTTGTGTATGAACCGTACAAAGTTTTTGTTTGTTTCTTTCTTTCCAACTAGAAGCGCCAAAAGGAAAACTTACTTTCAAGTGCGTCCCAACAGTTTTGCCTGCATGTCTCATACTACATTGTGTTCATGAACTGCCTCGTTGAATTACATTTATCATTATAGATTTAACTTTATCCGTTCCGACACTAAATATCAATAATTACACAAAGCTATCTACATGAGCCACTCTTTATTGTGTTTCCTCGAGATGGTGCGTTGCCAGTTGAAAAGAACCATCCGAACAAGTGTTACATCCCATATTATGTTACCTCCATTATAATACTGTCTTACTAATGGACAATTTCTGTTAGCAAATAGGTAATGGCACCTTTCAACTGGCAACTATTGCTGTTATAGAAAAGACCACTGTCTGGGAATGATTCATATCTTGTGTTTAGTATTCCTTAAAATTTCACTCTTCGGCTCCGATTTTAACTGGATATTCTGAAAAAAAATAAACACAAGAATTAAATAAAAAAAAGTATAAATTTCTAGTTTATCTAATACTGTAATTATTTGTTTTTGTGAATGAGTTTTAGTTTAAACCTATGCGCTTTTATGCATCGGTACACATTTATCAATATTTTGTGTCCAACTACATGAGACTACTAACGAGTACGTGTTCGTTAATCTCTGTATGGGATGCGCGTTTTTGTATTGTTTGCTGTGCATGTTTATTAATGAGTTGATGTGTATGTTTGTTGTAAAAGAGTTGATGTGTATGTTTGTTGTAAAAGAGTTGATGTGTATGTTCGTAAAAGAGTTGATGCGTATGTTCGTAAAAGAGTTGATGCGCGAGTTCGTAAACGAGTTGATGTGTATGTTTGTAAAAGAGTTGATGCGTATGTTCGTAAAAGAGTTGATGCGTATGTTCGTAAAAGAGTTGATGCGTATGTTCGTAAAAGAGTTGATGCGCGTGTTCGTAAAAGAGTTGATGCGTATGTTCGTAAAAGAGTTGATGCGTATGTTCGTAAAAGAGTTGATGCGTATGTTCGTAAAAGAGTTGATGCGTATGTTCGTAAAAGAGTTGATGCGCGTGTTCGTAAATGAGTTGATGCGTATGTTCGTAAAAGAGTTGATGCGCGAGTTCGTAAACGAGTTGATGTGTATGTTTGTAAAAGAGTTGATGCGTATGTTCGTAAAAGAGTTGATGCGCGTGTTCGTAAATGAGTTGATGCGTATGTTCGTAAAAGAGTTGATGCGTATGTTTGTAAAAGAGTTGATGCGTATGTTCATAAAAGAGTTGATGCGCGTGTTCGTAAATGAGTTAATGCGCGAGTTCGTAAATGAGTTGATCCGCGTGTTTGTAATGAATCGACGCGCGTTTGTGAATTGACTCTGGTTTTTAAAGAGTTGATGTGTATGTTCGTAAATGAGTTGATGTGTATGTTCGTAAATGAGTTGATGCGTATGTTCGTAAATGAGTTGGTGTATGTTCGTAAATGAGTTGATACGCGTGTTCTTCAACGAGTGTGAATGTGTGCGTACCGTCCTACTGGCAGCACTGTTTGCGAACGGAGTCGGCCGCCGGCCGCACGTCCGCCGGCTCGGCGTCGGGCCGGATCACGTCGCCCTCGGGCGGCTCGCGCATCTGCTTCTGCGACACGATCCTGTAGATCTCTGCCGAAGGGAACGCATTGATTACGACCAATGTGTATACTGAGAATGTTGTTATAGTAGTCTCCCATAGTTTTATGTGAGAAGGTCGCTACCGGCGGATATAGATGTTTGATCATGGACATCTGAGGGATCAGGGGGTTTTTTAATGCATTATGCACTAATAGTACAAAGGACTTATTGCCACGGGCATTATCTCCCTGTAAATTAGGGTAATACAGTTACAAAGCTAATGACACTCTCGTGAGACATCTATGACGCAATAATAAAACGGCAAAAACACAAGTCCAATCGGTGAATGTACCGGCTAGTAACGTACTTCGTTCACTATTGTACCAAACAGCTTAATTTAAATACATAAATATATAATATGTGGTTACTATTTAAGTTTAGTATATCTTATATGTAAATGATTTGTATGTGTTTAGTTGTTAAGGCTATTCAAATGAATAAAATATGTGAAGTTGTGGCCACTAACCTGTCAATATGTTCTGGAATGCTGGCTCCACGTTGGTCGAGTCGAGGGCAGACGTTTCTATAAAACTAAGACCGTTTCTTTCTGCGAAGGCTTTCGCCTCTTCCGTTGGGATGGATCTGTGAATTTAGACGAGACATATTATAATGTGATCTTGGGCTATGTGCCGACTCAGCCTTGTAGAATATTAACGGATATCCAGAATAGCGAAAAGGTAAATATTAATAATTTCCATTGAAGTTGGAGTCAAAAACTGTTTTTAAATTTTATTAAGGTAAATAAAGCTGCTCACATCAACTTTGTTGTTTTACCATATTTATGTTTATATATTTATCCACATGACTTTTGTATATGTATAAAAGTATTGCACCAATGGACAAAAGCCATATCATATTATAATATATTTAACCTTTTTTTAATTAAAGAGATAACCCTTTTTTTTTTGTTAAAAGAAGCCCTTATTACATTTTTAATAACCATTTTATTTCCATAATGTTTTTTTACAAACTTAAATAATAATTATATAATAGTTTAAATATATAATATCCTTGCCATTACTTAACCATTGTATGTTAGTCTGTGCTGTTGTTTTTTTTTATGAAAAAAATTAATCCAGCTAAAGTAAACGGTATATTACGGTGATTTCCAAATTGAAAATATTTTAGGTTTTTTTCATGTATATTTTTTGTGTCTTCATGTGGATTCGAGAATGGTTTAAATTCACAAAGTTATTCATCAAAATATTAAATATACGAATTTAAGACCTGTGCGGCCCTACTGACGTTGCTGTGTCCGCTAGTAGTCTAGTCGAGTGTAACATATTTTTATTTGCTACATACTTATAACGTGTAATTAATTACAAAAAGAAGAGCACGTATAAGTGTGTTGTATTAGATATCTAGTATCCGCTATTATTTAAATAAAGATGCAAAAATTATGATGCAAAGCACGTACAAGTGTACTTATTAGTTATATAGTATCCAGTTTTATTAAAAAAAAATCAAACAAAAAAAATCCTACTATTTTTCTTTTTTTTTTTTGCAAGTCGATCGTTATTTCGGGACTAGACGTTGTGCCGCTAAACGTCGTGGTCGCCGGATCGCTTGTGTGAGCGGGCTCACCTGAGGTGCCTCAGGTCGCTCTTGTTGCCGACCAGCATGATGAGGATGTTCTGGTCGGCGTGGTCGCGCAGCTCGCGCAGCCACCGCTCCACGTTCTCGTACGAGAGGTGCTTCGCGATGTCGTACACGAGGAGGGCGCCCACCGCGCCGCGGTAGTACGCCGACGTGATCGCGCGGTAGCGCTCCTGGCCGGCGGTGTCCCATATCTGCGCCTTTATGGTCTTGCCGTCCACCTGAAACGCAACGGGGGAATTACTCACTCCGTTGCGCAGTCTTGCCGCGGTTTGTTGGCTCCAGCGCTGGGTTAAGTGGGTTCGATTCCCACGCGAGACAACTGTTTGTGTGACCCACAGATAAATTTTTCCGAACACCACGTGGACAAACGTGTGATTTATCTAACGAATACTTGTGTGACCCGCAGATAGGTTGTTTCGGATCTGGGTGTTTTGTTCACGTGAAATTTATCTATGTGAAAGGTCTTTAAAGCACAGGATAATGTTATCCTACAGTTCTTCTAGAACAGCAGATCTTCTAGGTCTCCTTGGTCGTTGAGATTTACTAACCAAACCCTTTTTTTTTTTTTCGAATAATTTCGACGGGATCAACAGTGAACGGGAACAACATATTTCGAGCTGGTAATACGTATGGTTCGGTAATTGTGGCGAAAATAAATATTGGTAAAATTATTATATAACATGAATAATTTAGTGAAATTTCTTCGTACATGTAAGAATTAGTAGGCATCATAAGTTAAATAGTAATGTGCGAAACAATTACATTATACTAATAATAACTAATCATAATGGTCATCTTTTTTAGCCTACGATTCAATACAAAAGCCATAGCTGCTGGCGGAGATATTATTACTATTATAAACGAAAATTAAGGTTACTTCAATTCTTATCAATTATTATCTTTTCGTTACAACGTTAACTTGAAGAGCGTCATGATTTATCAATTGTAACTCGTACAAATATTAATATGTTTCTTATCAAAAGATAAAAAATATATCAAACAATGAAGTAACATGAGTATGCCATAGCATTAATTCTGCCGTACATTTATTTGCTAACTCTGCGTTCAATTACTAAGATGATTGTAGATAAAACAGATCGATAGGTGATAATGTAGACTATATTATCATCAATCGACACCACGACCAGAGAAATATTATATTTTCTAAGTATCAGTCAGGAAAGTCAAAGAACCAAGGGCCTCAGATAATGTACCAAAATAATAGATCTTACATTTAGAATACAGTATCCGGAGAACCCGGATTGTTTTTTTTTTTGGTAAATCGTGTATTTTGAAAATTACATTTAGATACAAATTACTGAGTAATGAAATATGCATAATGTTTTTCGATCTTACCGACGTAATAATAAGAAAAAGTTCATATAGAACTGATGTTTTTCACAAAAGAAAGAACTTTAAAAAGAAGGGAAAAAAAATAACAAAATAACAAATCGACAAAAAATTAAAATAAAGAAAGCAATGATCTGGAATCGGAAAAAAAGTAAAAAAATAAATGTGTAAATGATCGTGACGCGAACCACGGCCGTCTGTTTTGGGGCCGCCCGATTACCGACCGAACTATTATGACCTTTGCTCTTGCGGCGAAATTTACCGTCATATTCGAATTATATTTTTCATTCCCTGAAAACAGGGATAAAATGACATTTTCTAAAGATGAAACCTAGCTAGATCGATTTTTCGCCCCCGAATCTACGCACATACTAAATTTCATGAAAATCGCTGGAGCCGTTTCCGAGATTCCGATTATATATATACATATATATATACAAGAATTGCTCGTTTAAAGGATAAGATTATTCTTTAATAAGAAAACTTCGTACAAAAATTGTTCAATTTTAAGCCTGTTGTTCTACAGTGGCCTATTTAAGTATCTAAAGCGCATATAAACCTATCGTCTGTGCACATAATAGCTGTCATATGTACTTGAATGAGTGCCTATAATGAAAAATCAATATTTATTATAGACTATACTGGTACTATACTAACTTATCGAGTGCATGGATGGCAATTCTTTATAAAACTGTCATTTTATCGACTGCCATTCCACACCGTGTTGTGTTCAATGCATATACGGTAACGTGATACACAAATAGTACTTATAGCTCGCTTGAGAGAAGATTCCTTTATTTAAAAAAAGGATAAGAAAAATAGTCTAAAAGTGAAGAACGACACAGCAGTTGCTCAAAGGTGTTCATGTTTTGTGATGTCACTCTCTCAACGCATCGCCAATTCGAACGCGAGTCTGCCGCAAATCGATTTTGTATTCAATACATCCTTATGTACATACAAAAATGAAATACCTATGCGTATGTATTGCGACGAGGTCAACAAGTTATCGTTGGATATTTTAAAAGCTAGAGAACATTCGTTAAAGACAGGGAACTATCGTGAGGTGGGTCGGTCGTTATATTGTTGTGCAACGATGTGTATTCAAGTAGTAACGCGCAAAAAAATCGGTTGGTTATGACCAGTATATTAAGTTCACTAAAGCAATATTTTGTTCTCTGTCACAAGTCAGGCAGGCAACCTAACAGGTGGGACCAATTAATTCTTATCTTTTTCGGATGACACAAAATGATTAAATTAACAGGTTTTATAGTTCACTAGTTTTTCACCCGCGGCTCCGCTCGCGTTGAAGCCCTTAAATAACTATCTTTCAACCCTTTACAACAATTTTTTTCCAATTAAAAGATAGCCTATGTCCTTTCTCAGGCTCTAGACTGTCTGTGTACCAAATTTCATTTAAATCATTTCAGTAGTTTTGGAGTGAAAGCGAGACAGACAGAGTTACTTTCGCATTTATAATATTAGTATGGATATAATAAATAGTTTTCGTATGAGGTTGCACGTATTGTATCCCAGAGACTACCAAGCAAGGAATTTATACCTTTTCAGTTCTCTAATCAATGTCTCATGGTGTTTAAGAAAAAAGGAAGAGCAAGCGGTCGTTCTGTGGAAGTTTGACAAAATTTGTGAAGCGTCTGTAGTAACAGTTATTTCATCATTCCTATATTAAGTCGATAGTTTCGTAAAACGTTATTGTAACTATCATTTCTTAAGAGGGCGGAAACCAATTTTTATAAGTAACTAGCTGTCCCGACAAACGTTGTTTTGCCATATAAATTATTTGTAGGGTAGAAAAAAATGTTTGGGGTGGACCACCGTTAACATTTAGAGAGGATAAAAAATAGATGTTGTCCGATTCTCCACCCTGGCCGATATGCACACAATTTCACGAAAATCGGTCGAGCCGTTTCGGAGGAGTTCAATTACAAACACCGTTACACGAGAATTTTATATATTAGATATTTACGATGTACATCAGTGAATGAATGAGTTTTCACATCAATAATTCGTGTATGCTACGCCCCAATGGTGATTGGGGCGTAGCATACACGAATTTGGCACACTGACCGGCAGTGTGCGGAACCGTTAGAGGTCACACGAGCTATTTGCACTTCCCGTCCTTTTAAATTGGATTCGATGCGACCTATGTCACAAGAACTCCTGTATTCATTCAAAGTGAGAGATATGACACTAGGGCACCGAAATTGGGGCGCTCAAATTAAACCAATTGGTGAAATTCTATAGACTATATCATCTGTCACATTCACTTACATTTGTCACTTACACTATTATAGTAGTAATGCGGAGCAATTTCTAAACGCTGCGCAGTATGAACATGCATCATCTATATATTAAACATCATTGGAGTAGAGGTAGACGTTATTGAATGAGATTATATATCGCGTTTATTTTGAATATTATTTTCCAACGCTTCGAAACCATTTCAGCGCTCATGGTCATGGCACAGACTGAGGCTTTGGACATTATGATGTCACAGTTAGCCCGGCCAACCGTCAGATTTAAAAATTTTCTATTCTGTGTCCGATCTCCGAATCTCGATCTAAATACAATCATCATGAGCATACATTTTTCTTGAGAAGCTTGGTTTAGACCAGTATCAGTAGATTGCCCTTTGAAATTTTATCTGTGGAGTGAATTGACCTGGGAGTTGGTCCTTTATACGGGACGACGCGTTTGCAATACAAGCGCTGTAGACTATCACAACCGTCGGTCATCAATAAAAGAAGGAGAACCACCTTTGATAGCTTGCCTTATTTACGTATGAAAAACGGACAGAGATATACGACGACCGCGCCAACACTTGTAAACAAATAAAACCTGCTGGGTGGGTCTATCATCGTGCAAATTTTTGCACGTAAGAAACCGGAAAGTATGATAGTCAATCTAATTCGAGTTGGCAAAATATTTCATTTTTAACATCGTTGAATTAGACAGACCTGAGTGGATCATAATAAGCGTGTTATAAATGTTGTTCAACATTTTATAAATGCTATTAAACCTCGTTGTGCTCTGTTGGCTTTACTTTGGTTATCGTTTTAAGGTTTGCCTTATATTTCGTGTCGAAGTTACGGAATTTTTATTTCTTTAATCAATTCATATGCTTGGCTTTTGCGCCGGGGATCGTGGGTCAAGCTTGTCTTCGGGGCCGAGAGTCGTGGGTTGCCCACAGATAATTGTTCCAGATCTGGGTGTTTGTTTCCCAAGGAGGGTTGACGTCAAGCAGGCGGCCGATCGTACAAAAACCTAGTGTAGGATGATGGGTTCATCAGTAATCTTGAACGGGATTTAAACAATCCATAATTTTTGAGGATTATTAATCCTCAACGTCTTGAAACTGAACATCGGGAAACATGCTACATTATGTGTATAGTATGGAAACGTCTGTATGTTTTTTGCCATGTATGTGTGTTTACACGACACTAAAGTCAGAGTGGATTAAAAATAGTTTCCTTCACCGTTCAAAGCGAAACATTCAACCGTCACGATTGGCTGCGAAGTTAAAAATGTTGTTTTGAGTCTCGAATGAGCAATCTCGTCTCGATGACTCCCAAACACGAATTCGCGATTTAAAGCGAAACAAGCAGTCACTTTTGGATACACAAATGTTAGTAGAAAATAATGGTATTTTCTACTTTATTTTGTTATAAAATAATTGTTTAAGAAAACTTATATTTTAAGGATAAAGACTTTCGTTTTGTCTTTAAACACTAAAGCGTTCTTAGTCACGGGTCAGTCAGAGTTGTGTTAATTTTGTTGGTATTTATTCAATTCTATTCTCTTGTTGTTAATTTGCTATCTATTTTGTTTTAGTTGTTTATCCCGTTCTAAA